CGACCCTGTTGACTATTTTGAATGAAACGCTTGATTGTTAGATGATCACGCTTCAGAAGCTTTGCAATTTTAAGAGTGCTGCATCCCTCTGCAAGATATCTCACTATTTTTGACTTTTCTGAGCCTGTCAAGTCCTTCTTTTGACCCATTTTGCCAAAGGAAAGGAAGTTGCCTAATAATTATGCACACCTGATATAGGGTGTTGATGTCATTAGACCACACCCCTTCTCATTACAGAGATGCACATCACCTAATATGCTTAATTGGTAGTAGGCTTTCGAGCCTATACAGCTTGGAGTAAGACAACATGCATAAAGAGGATGATGTGGTCAAAATACTCATTTGCCTAATAATTCTGCACTCCCTGTATACATTACACTGGTTCAAGACATCAGTGCTATGTCGGGATGTCTCAACATCTTCGCGTCCTTGGAGGTCGTTCAGGTTGTAGAAGTACTGGAGTCCATTGGTCTGTGAGAGGTTTTACGGTTTTGTGCCCAGTCTTTAGCAAGGGATTTCAGAGCCATGGTACTTGCCCCTTGTGTTGCTTCGTTATGCAGAAGCGGTATTTGCCAGTCTCTGAATAGTTTCTGGCCTTCTGTTAAATCATGTATTGGCCTGTCCGCTCCATTCCTTTTCACAAGCAATTTGGTGGGGAAGCCCCATTTATAAGGGATGTTAGCATTTCGCAAAGCTTCCGTAAGAGGAGCAAAGGTTTGGCGTTTGGTCATGGTTGCGGAGGAGAGATCTGTAAATATTTTGAGGTTTTGGTATGGTTCAGGCCACTGCTTCAATGTCCTGGAGACTTGCAGAATCCTGTCTTTTATATTGTAGAAGTAGACCCTGGTGATTACGTCCCTTGTCGTGTCTGGAGGTAAGTGTTTGGGTTTGGGGAGTCTGTGCGTTCTATCCAGGCTCAAGTCCAGGTTATTTTGAGATGGTATGAGTGTCTTGAAGAGGTTTTGGACATACCGGGGTAGGTCTGCGTTCGCTACCGACTCAGGAATTCCCCGTATGTGAATATTATTCCGCCTGTTCCTGTCCTCATGATCCACTACCCTCTCTTCTTGGGATTGCAGCTTCTGTTGTAGCGAGGTGTAGGCCTCAGCCACAGAATTGTGTGCATCAATCAGCTCATCTGTGCGGTCTTCCAGACGTGCTGTTCTTTCACCAATATTTTGTATGTCGGCTTTGATTTTCGCTGTCATTTGTAGAAGATCGGCTTTAAAGGAGGCTTTTAGTTCCAACATTATGCTTCTCACCGAGAGTTCTGTCGCTGGGTTGGATAGATTGTCCAGTTCAGCGTTGTGCCCTCCTGTTTCAGAGCAATTTGTTGGGGACTGGGGCCTGTCGGCGTCATCTTGGTCTCCGTGTTCTGAGGGCTGCTGTTTCTCCAAGTGCGAGTGCGGGGTATTTTGCTTACATTTTTGATGGATTTCGTGGCATCACGCTGGGTAACCGTTCCGCTTGATAAACGGGTGTTTATTGTTGGTTACGCCGATTATAACACGCTGTAATGGCCGCCACGTGGGAGAGCCTCTGTCCCACACGTCTGTTCCCATGCGTTGCTAGGACACGCCCCCCTAAGCCATACTATTTTATAGTTTGTAAGAGTTCCTCTATTTAAAATATTTTAATAATTGAGAATACAATATAAAAAAGGGATTGTCATGGAAGCAATAACGTTTTGTCTTTTTAAATATTTTATTAAATAAAAATATAAAAATAGACATATAAAATCCTTTACAACAGAGCAATTTATAGTGGAGTTCATAAGATTAAAATATATGCTTGCAATATCAGTAAAATAGAATAACATACCCTCCTGAACATGTCAACCTCTCAGTCATAATAAAATGGGGCAGCGTCTGTCTCCTAAATCTCTCCTATGTGTCCTAATATTAATAAGTACACATATTTATACCTTGATGTTCAATTTGGTAATAACTAGGCAAAGATTATAGGACCTACCTTAACTTGGCTATAACTTGGTCATTTTACATGGGAACATCTTATCTATGTTTAGTCTAAAACGTAAGGGTACACATGACGTGGGAAATTCCCTGACTTGGGAAATTACACTAACCTAGGACAAGATGGCATCCTAAAATCTGAACACCATTGTATGAAAAACAATATGTTCCATTTCTAACAACATGTCAGTTTGCAAATCGCTTAACCCCTTAAGGACCAAACATCTGGAATAAAAGGGAATCATGACATGTCACACATGTCATGTTTCCTTAAGGGGTTAAAGACAAAGTACACAGTTTAAGAAATACAACTTTTATTCTAAAACTTGTAATATTTGCATATGCCCATCACACTACACCCCATGCGTACAAGACTAATACCACCATGAGGGGCATCCCATCGCAGAATTCCAGCACCTCCCCTCTACATAAGAGATACAGCAACTCCAGACCTTTATTTTAGCCTTGTTTTGGGCTTATCAGTGAGGTGTACCTTAAACCCTTCTAGGCACAAGCATTATTAGATTCACAAGAGCATTATGAAGTGGTTATAAAAGGGTATTATACATGAGTTGGTGGCTATTAAAAGCTATTATAATTATTATTATTTAATGGAGGAGAGTGGGAGTATGCAATTTTTGAAGCGGCTATTATAAGATTTATTGGAATGTAAAGAGGTTACTATAGGTTATCATTATTATTACCGTACATGTATATACCTTTGGGGCTTATTTTATGATTCAACTGGTGTTTCTTTAACAGCAAAATCTTTTTTTGCTACAATTTTAATCCATTTCAATTATTATAAATAGTTTGAATGCCTAAGAGCCAATCTTTTCAAACTGGCGCCTGACTGCTGGATAGCATGCTGATTTATATGGAAAAAAAATGTGTCTTGATGCCATTGTCAGCGGAATACAATTGTTTATTTAAAACTGAGATCCAGCAGAGTGTTTTGCATTTACATCTAACATAAAAAGCCTGGGTGCCTTTGATGCACCCAATTGCTTCATCTGTATACGGATCTGCAGGTTAAAATCATTTAAGTCACAGAATTATTTGTATATTATTACACTGAATTGAGTGGTTCGGTCTGCTGTTCAGTTAGATTAATGATTGATGCTTTGGAGTTGCATTGATCCATACACACTGAGTTGGAAAAGAATAGTCAGCTTAATTAAAAATCACTATCAAAAAGAGGGAGAGACGGGGAAGACTGGAGTTAAAACACCATTTAAATATAAGTAAGTCCATAAGAAATTGTAATTAAAAGTTAATCTATACTCATTCATTTAAAGCATATCTTTCTGAAGACAATTGATTTTGTGCTTTTAAATGTATAGTAGTGTTGTGTTGGTTTAGTGGTCTAGTGGGCTTGCTAAGTTTATATTTGTTTTATTCATCATCATGGGGAATCAGTGCTGTTAACATCAGACCTCCTTGGTAATTTATTTTATTTTAAGTGGTACCTACTAAGAAGTGAAATAAACAAGACTCTGATCATGAAATGTTTCACACATAAAACACTCTGAAAGAGACATGTGAGACCAGCAAAAATTAGTTGCAAACATGAAACTAACACAAATTATATGATATAAAAAGTGTTTATGGTTCCAATACCTCTCTTATTACTGGGGGGTGCAGTTAGATCCCCCTGGCCCTCTTTACATTAGCTTCCCATATCTTTCAGGATCCAATTCAAATTACTGACGTTAACATACAAAGTCTTTAACAATGTTACCCCCATTACATTTCTTCTCTAATCCACAAGTATCCTTATCTCATTCCCCTTATTCTGCCAATGATCTTCTGTTGCCCTCTGTTTGATCCACCTCTGCTAAATCTCAATTACACGACTTTGCGACAGTTTGCCCTTTTCAATGGAATGCTCTACCCCAGGAGTGCCCAAAATGTAGATTCCCAGATATTTTTAAACTACTGCTTCCATGTTCTACAACATCTGAGGATCTATCTTTTGGGCAGCCCTTCTCTACACCATTCTATTAGATTTCATTCTAGCCTCCAGTCCTTTAAGAAATCACTAAAAATGTGCCTCTTTAGGAAAGCTTACCATCTTCCTAGTTAACTTCTCATATCAGAATATCCCTCCCATCCTCCACACAAAACCTATATTTTCACAGCAGTCCACTAAACACTTTCTCTCTTTTTATTCTACATAGCCTCCATTTACTACTCTCATACTAATTACTAAGCACACGCATCGCATCCATCATACTCTCCTTCTCTTTGACAAAATAGTCATCCTATTGGGTTCTTCTTTCCTTTCCTCTTAGATGGTGAGCTTGTTTGAGCAGGGTCTTCTTTACCTTTTGTCTCTGTCAACACTACTTTATATGTCAATGCTTTGTATTCACATTGTATTATTGTAAAGCACTGTGAAATATGTTAGCGCAATATAAATGGTAATAATAATAATACATCAACTGACTGGTGGTTGATTGACCATAGATCCCTCTAGCAACCTAGCAGGGCCCAACAATGTGTGTTTTCTCTGAAAAAAATGGGAAGATCTACACAGTATGGATACCCCTTAGAAAACTTGGAAAGACCCATATTGGGACAGAGGATGATAATTGGGTTATCCCTTCCACTGATTCCTGTATTGGATTGGTCAGTTGGATGACTCCAGTGACTAGATTTGCAAGACTTTATACATTTTGTATGACAGTGTGTGAGCATATATGCCTTACTTCAGTTTAGTAATATGTATTAGATTTGTCTTTTTAGTTTATTTAGATGTCTTTCACTACAATGACATCACCACAGTTGTGAAATTATTTTCAATCCTTTGATTTTCAAACGTGTTTCATTAAAAATCTAGTTTGTTAGCTAACTATATCTATAAAGAACAGGGCAAAGTGTAAAAATTCATGTTAGAGATTTGGAATTCACCCAATTCAAAAAATAAGAGATAAAAAATGTATATTTCATGCCAAAATAAACACGATTGAAATCTCTGACTGTAGTTGTTCAAACTAAAATTTTACATTAGTTAAAGCAATGACTGTTGAAGAGAAGAGTAGCAGAAAATGGCAAATCACGCTATGGAGGGTAAGGTTACCCTGAGAAAGACCATTGGCTTTTTTAGTGGAGTTAATTTTATAATTGGAGTCATAATAGGATCTGGAATTTTTACATCACCGGGAGGAGTGCTACTATATTCACAGCTAAATGTTGGAATCTCATTGGTAATATGGGCTGCATGCGGAGTTATTTCAATGCTGGGTGCTTTGTGCTATGCAGAACTAGGAACCACTTTTCCATCATGCGGAGGGGAGTATTTTTATATTAAAAGGGGTCTTGGTTCATTGCCTGCATTTATTTTCTTATGGACAGGAGTTCTATTTACGGGACCTGCTGTAACCACTCTTAATGCTTTAATGTTCTCTGAATATGCTGTTCAGCCTTTTTTCCCAGGATGCCATACACCAGAACTAATCAAAAAGGCAGCAGCCATTGCTATTATTTTGATAGTAGGAATTATTAATTGTCTAAACACCAAGTGGATTGTGGTCATCCAAAACATATTTTCAGTTCTGAAGATGGTTGTCCTCGCAGCAATAGCTATATGTGGACTGGTTCATTTGGCAATGGGAAAAACACAAAATGTACAGAGAGCATTTGATGGAGATATTCCAAATGTATCACAGTTTGGAGAAGCCTTCTATCAAGGAATGTTTGCATACGGTGGATGGAATGTTCTCAATTTTACCATTGGTGAGTTACTGAGTTTAGTTTTTGGTGATTTATATATGACCTAAAAGCTATCTTGAAATATCTAAAATTGTATTTCCAGTTTGGAAAAATCAATCAAGTTAAATTTAATTATTTTTGTAAAAATATCTGTACAATAACAAATTGTAAACTAATACATAGAAATCAGATCAACAATAATGTGTTTAATGTATGTGTTGTGTGGTCATGTTTCTTTTCAGTGCTGTGATTGAGAATCACGATTTTTCCCTTCTGTACTGCAGCACTAAATGTGAAGTTTGTATTAGCTAGTGAAGAATACATAGTAAGCTTTTAGTTGGCTTTTAAATGATTGTTTCCTTTAGCACATCTCTACTTAGCTAACAGGAAACTCTCATACTTAGTTAACAGAATTTAACATTAGAAATATAAACATATATTTATAATGATAGAGTTTCTTCCTAGTTATTTAGATATATAGGCCCCCTGTATGTGAAAAATAACAAAGCTCTATTTAACTTTAATCTAATGCTGCACATATCTCACCATTGCACAGTCCTGTACTATACAATGCTTTCAACTTTTGGGTCAAACCAATTAGGAAAAGCACTCTCCCGGTTGTGTCATTGACAGATGGGGAGGTACAACATAGAATTTCTTTTGAAACTGGCATTTCTGTAAAGTTTAGAAGAGGGTACACTCTGTTAATACTTAAAGAACTTCAGCAAGCTGTAAGTTGAAGTGCTTTGTGTTTTTGGAGTGTGTTTTTAAATCCACTTTATTTTTTTTTCTGCCAGCAAATAAAATTAAATCCTGTGATACATGTTGTTAACCTGTTTTAAGAAGTCTTAAATATCAGGGGTAGATAACCTTCAATATACTTGATCGGGGTAGTCCAAAACATTTGCAGTGCCGAAGGTTGCCTATGCCTGTACTAGATGTTCTGGACTACATCTCTGCTGATGCTTTGTCAGCATTATGGCTATATAATAGTGATGTCGCGAACATAAAATTTTCGGTTCGCGAATAGCGAACGCGAGCTTCCGCAAATGTTCGCGAACCGGCAAACCGGGCGAACCGCCATAGACTTCAATAGGCAGGCGGATTTTAAAACTCACAGGGACTCTTTCTGGCCACAATAGTGATGGAAAAGTTGTTTCAAGGGGACTAACACCTGGACTGTGGCATGCCGGAGGGGGATCCATGGCAAAACTCCCATGGAAAATTACATAGTTGATGCAGAGTCTGGTTTTAATCCATAAAGGGCATAAATCACCTAACATTCCTAAATTGTTTGAAATAACGTGCTTTAAAACATCAGGTATGATTTTGTATCGATCAGGTAGTGTAAGGGTTACGCCCGCTTCACAGTGACAGACCAAACTTCCCGTTTAACGCACCGCAAACAACCGCAAACAGTCCATTTGCACAACCGCAAACTCCCCATTTGCACAAGGTTGGATACCAAGCTAGCCATGTCCCGTTCCTTGTCCTCACTGATGTCATTGAAGGTCTCTTCCTCCACCCAGCCACGTACAACACCAAGGGTCCCCAAAAGGTGACAACAAGCCCCCTGGGACGCCTGCTGTGTTTGGTCTTCCACCTCCTCAAAGCCACCTTCCTCCTCTGACTCCTCTTCTTCAGACTCCTCTCTCTGCGTTGCCTCTCTCTGTGTTATTATAAGGTGTGTTAAGTAGTACTATTCCTATCAGTTTAATCCCTGTTACGTCCCCTATCAGGGGACGTGTATATGGCATCGATTTTAGGAACCGGGAGATGGAAAAAGATGCTTGGTCGGTCCTCCTAATTCAAATTTGGGGCACTGCGCATGCAATCTAATGTGCCACCAGATAGGAGTGGTGTGTTAAGTAGTACTATTCTTATCAGTTTGATCCCTGTTACGTCCCCTATCAGGGGACGTGTATATGGCATCGATTTTAGGAACCGGGAGATTGAAAAAGATGATTGGTCGGTCCTCCTTCTTCAAATCTGGGGCACTGCGGGTGCAATCTAATGTGCCACCAGATAGGAGTGGTGTGTTAAGTAGTACTATTCTTATCAGTTTAATCCCTTTACGTCCTCTATCAGGGGACGTGTATATGGCATCGATTTTAGGAACCTGGAGACGGAAAAAGATGCTTGGTCGGTCCTCCTTCTTCAAATTTGGGGCACTGCGCGTGCAATCTAATGTGCCACTGGATATGAGTGGTGGCACTGGGCAAGTGGGCACAGTATACGCTGTGAGCCTGACACACACGCTGGCAGACAACTAACTGCTATTCAATCTATTACAGTCAAAAAATGTTTCATTTTTTTTAAATGTACACTACTGTTACACCAGATATGATTTTCACTGGTGTGACACTGTGCCCTGGCAGGCCCTGAAACGCACACGTGTGAAGGAAGCTGACTGCTATTATATTACAGTCCAAAAAGTTTAGTTTTTTTAAAATGCAAGCTATTGTGACACCAGTGAGTGAGTGGTGGCACTGGACAGGCCCTGAAACGCACACGCATGAAGGAAACTGACTGCTATTATATTACAGTCAAAAAAGTTTAGTTTTTTTTAAATGCAAGCTATTGTGACACCAGTGAGTGAGTGGTGGCATTGGGCAGGCCCTGAAGCGCACACTAGTGAAGGAAACTGACTGCTATTATATTACAGTCCAAAAAGTTTTGTTTTTTTTAAATGCAAGCTATTGGGACACCAGTGAGTGAGTGGTGGCACTGGGCAAGTGGGCACAGTATATGCTGTGAGTCTGACACACAGGCTGGCAGGCAGGCAACTGCAATTACATTACACAGAAAAAAAACAGCAGACTGATGTTCTAGCCCTAAAAAGGTTTTTTTGGGGTGCTGTCCTTACAGCAGAGATCAGATGAGTCCTTCAGGACTGTAGTGGACACTGAATACACTAGCCTAGCTATCAATTCCCCTATCAAATCAGCAGCAGCTACACTGTCCCTCCTCTCACTAAGAATGCAGCTTCACAATGAATGTAAAATGGATGCTGTCCAGGAGGTGGGAGGGTCTGGGAGGGAGGGTCTGCTGTTGATTGGCTGGAATGTGTCTGCTGACTGTGAGGTACCGGGTCAAAGTTTACTTAATGATGACGAATAGGGGGCGGCAGGGCTGCCATCAGAAATGTTGGGGCCCTGACACAGCTCAAGGTCTGGGCCCCCCGGTGCCTGCACCCGAGTCCGCCCAAAGTGCTGCCCCCCCCCGAATCCGCCCACAGGGATGCAGTGTCTACAGGGCCAGTGCAAGGATTTTTGCCGCCCTAGGCAAAAGTAAAGTTTGCCGCCCCCCCATGTGACATCACAATGCCCCACCCATATGATCTGCCATGTTAACTAACACCAGTGCTGCAGTACCGCCGTGTTTACATTAAAAGGACTGCAGGGACAGGCTAGACACCAGAACCACTACATTAAGCTGCAGTGGTTCTGGGGACTATAGTGTCCCTTTAATGTGAGGTAAATTAGAGATTAGTGCCACGAATAATATACTAGATTGCCTACTTACAACCAGATGAGGATGATGATGGGCTCTAGCTGCAATCTGGCTCCACTGGTCTGGTGTACAACAGGCTCTCTGGAGGCAGTTTGTAACTGTGGTCACAAAAATCACTGTTCTGGGAGAAAGGGAAGCAGCTCCATTTTTTTGAGGGCCCTTTACACAGCTCAAGGTCTGGGTCCCGGGGTCCACCTTCATGTTCCACCAATGAGTTTGTTCACAGGGAGTGGGGTGTGGGGGGTGTCCTGATGTGTGTAAGGAATGCATTGTGTGAATCTGTGTTTGTATGTGTAAGGGCTGCAAGATGAGTTTGTGTATGTATGGGATGCAGTGTGTGCGTCTGTAAGGGATGCATTGAGTGTTGCTGTGTGTAAGGGATGCATTGCTTGTGTACGTGTATCTGTGTGTAATGCATTGTGTGTTTTTCTGTGTGCAAGGGGTGCATTGTGTGTGATGGATGTCAATCTCTCCCCTTCCCCCCGTCAATTTCCTTCTCCCCCCTCTCCCTCCAATTTCCTTCTTCTCCCCCCCTCTCCAATTTCCTTCTTCCCCCCTCCAATTTCCTTCTTCTCCTCCTCCCTCTCATTTCCTTCCTCTCCCCGTCTCTCAAATTTCCTTTCTCTCCCCCCGTCCCTCAAATTTCCTTCCTCTCTCCCTCCCTCAAATTTCCTTCCTCTCTCCCTGCCTCAAATTTCCTTCCTCTCCCCCCTCCCTCCCTCAAATTCCATTCCTCTCCCCCCTCAAATTTCATTCCTCTCCCCCCTCCCTCAAATTTCATTTCTTCCCCCCCCATTTCATTCCTTCCTCCCCCTCTCCTCAAATTTCATTCCTTCCCCCCTCCCATTTCATTCCTTCCCCTTCCCCCCTCCCCCATTCATTTCTTCCCTTCCCCCCCTCCCATTTCATTCCTTCCTCTTCCCCCCTCCCATTTCATTCCTTCCCCATTCATTCTTTTCTCCTTCCCCCTCCCATTTCATTCCTTCCCCTTCCCCCCTCCATTTCATTCCTTCCCCCATTTCATTCTTTCTCCTTCCCCTCCATTTCATTCCTTCCCCATTTCATTCTTTCTCCTTCCCCCCCTCCCATTTCATTCCTTCCCCATTTCATTTCTTTCTCCTTCCCCCTCCCATTTCATTTCCTTCCCTATTTTAATTCTTTCTCCTTCCCCTCCATTTCATTCCTTCCCCCCTCCATTTCATTCCCTCCCCCCATTTCAATTCCTTCTCCTTCCCCCCCTCCCATTTCATTCTAACCCCCCCCTCGAATTTCATTCCTCCTACCCCCCCCCCTGACACTGGCGGTGGGCGGGCTGGCCGGCGCGCGAGGGAGCACTCTCTGTGTGCATCCTCTTCAGCTCCCTCGCGCGCCGCGTACTGATGCCGGAGCCGGAAGATGACGTCATCTTCCGGCTCCGGTATCAGTATGGTGCGCGAGGGAGCTGAAGAAGAAGCACACAGAGAGTGCTCCCTCGTGCGCTGGCCCGCCGGGTGTCAGCAGGGCCAGCCTTGGGGGGGCC